TGCTGTCCATGTACTTAACTGTGTTATCAATAATCTTCTGAATCTCTGTAGCAGTGCCTTTGTCTGTGCCCTCACTTCTTCTAGCAGGTCGCTGGCTTTTTGTGAGTGGAGTTCCACAGTAGCAAATGCTGCCATCCTCTTTCACTGTGAACTTTGTGTCCAAGGTTTTCTGGTATTCTCCAGGTTTTGTTTTCAGGCTGAGTAAGCGTGATGCGGTACCCTGAACTAACTGATTTGTTCATGTGATTAAGTTGTCATGCTGAAAATCAGTACTGCACTTGGATAAGATGGTACTGTAGTCCAGCATAAAATGTAGGAAGTGAACAAATTTCTCAGTCTTCATCTCCTGCACCACCCCCTTTGCTTTGGCAGCATCCTCTGGCTTAATTTCACTTCTTCCTGCCATATTCTCCATGTGAATAACAGTGGAAGTGTTAATTTTTTTCCACAGCCTTAAGACATCTTAGCCTGCTTGGAAGCCACCGTGTGCTCTTCAGGCCACTGAAATGTGCCACTTTCTCATTTAGCAGTTCACTTATTTCTGCCAATTCTCTTCGCTTCTTTATCCTTTAAAGACATTGATGGATGGAGCTGTCAGCTGAATAATGATATAAAAGTAACAAATGTTCCAATGCATTACTTTTGCTGATAAGTAATTAGTAATGTAATTACTTTGTTAGTAAAAAAACAAGCAGTTAATTACAGTTTTCATGTAACTTGGCCCACACTGTTCAAACTCTTTGCTTTACATATTCCTACCACCATCATTGTCTGTTTGCTGCTGAACTGCACTTACTGTTTCTGTTAACAATGAAGAAGTTGTATCAAAAAAATAAATAAGCTTGGACTGGTAAGAGTTGGCATTCAAATGTTCACTTTCCTTTCCTTTTCCTTTTTTTTTTTTTTTTTAGTTACACACCAGGAATGCTGGCTACCTGTATGTTACCTGTAAATTCAGTATTTTATTTGACTTTGCCTGTTAAATGATCTTGTTCTAGTGATTACTGAGCACTAGCTTCTTATTCCACCAATGAAGAGTATGATAGTATCCACATTTAGAGCGACTGATTTAGTGAGGATATTGCTGTAAATAGCCAAGACTTGGCTGGGTGCCTTACATATTAATACTTTTTTACTATAATGGGCTTTACATGCACCATCTTTCTATATGTGTAATTTCTAATTTTTCACTTTTTTCTTTCCCACACTTCTCAGACACAAATGCCAGACCCGAAGACCTTTAAGCAGCACTTTGAAAGCAAGCATCCAAAGTCTTCAATGCCCCCGGAGTTGGTTGGTGTGGAGGCATAACACATTCACATTCACTTCCATTTCATTAAGACAATTTGGGGCTGATTCAGGACAGGCTTCTACATTTACAGTGTTTTTGATAAAATATCTTCAGTTATTCCTCCTGCTGCTTAATTCCACAAATGATGCATGGGGTGTTTAGTGCAGGGATGGTAGTTACCTGCCTGCCGATCATCATTTTTCCAGATTTGCAGCTATCCTCACTTGCCAGAATTTGATCTGGGGCCACTACTGAAGGTAGACGCACAACAGCCAGTTCTTTTGGCTTGTGTCAAAACATGTAGATGTTCCATCTTTGATTGTATGCAGTATTTTTGTCTTGTCTTATTTCAAACAATCAGCTTGTCCATGGGCTCTACCATCATTATACCATCTCGGGGCTCCCGGTGTTCCAGGACAAACTTTGAATTCAGAGGAGAATATGAGCTGGCACTGGCTCAGCTGAACACAGGTGTACTACTGAGATAATTGAAAGTCATCTGCATCCAAATCCAATATACTGTGAACCCCATAATGTACAATATTTTTCACTGAAACTAATTTGTGATGCATTATGGTTGGGGTTATAATTATGGGTTATTCAGAATGACTTTGGAGTTTATACTGTGCTTAGAAAGACATTCAATTAAAACCACTGTGTTCTTTTGTGTAGATTCATATTTACTTCCATTCTGCACTGTTAATGGAAAAAAGTCAGTAGTCTTTGTTGATATAAAAATTATGTTAAACACATTGTGCTACATGGGTACTGAAATCAAGCATTGCCTTTTCCCCTCAGATCTTTATAAAATGTGTCTGGTTCATGTCCACTAAGTAACTTTTTGTATATGCAACAGAACTATAAAGGTTTACCAGAGAGGGTGCTGCTAGTCTACTCGTAGTAAACTCTTCCATGACACAGTTTCTGCAGCTCCATCACACAGCAATGTGAAGACTGCATAAAACATTCAGTTAGCTTTGATGCTGTTACAAGTGATCTCTTAGGTTGAAGATAATAGTTTGCACTAGCTGTTGCAAATGGTAATGCTGATTACCTAGTCATATCTCCCAAGTTTATTTTAATAATACACACATGTGTGGCATAACTGTGTGCACCACTGTAGTATTTGATCATAACTTTGTTAATAACTTATGTATTTTGCAGTGTAGCCTGTTCCACACACTGTCATCTCACTGGCATGTGTGAAAATAGTTCCAAGTGCTGTCTTGCCCTCTTTAGTGTTCTCCTTTCATGGTGCAAAAGTATTTTGGCTCCGAACCAGCATTATGTCTGTAGTCCGTTACACTGCAAGTTTAACTTTGGGTCTTATTTTTAATTAGTTGTTCATAGCATGCTAACAGAGATTTAATTTATAAAAAGGAACTATTTTCAATACATTTGGACCTACTGGTCATTAACCACTGACATTGTATCACTGTGCTAAAATCTGGACTGACATCTGGCCATGTTTTTACTTTTGTAATAATCATTATCTTTGTTCAAGCTGTGTAATATAGTCTTTTAATAAAGGTGTTACTTTATATTAACTAGTACCGTTGGTTTTTTTGAAAAGATTTTCTGGAACAATAAATGTTTCTATTATTATTGTTGTTGTTTTTTATAAGGAAGGGAATTTCTAATACTTTGATGCCAAGGCCAAATTCCAAAGATCTCAGTGGTTTGAAACTAATTAGTGTGTCTAAAATGCTATTGCTAAATCATAACTTATAAGCATGATCATGTTAGAGTCAAAACTCATCCGATTCTAAACTGTGCTATGAAGGTGGAAACGAATGTGAGTAATGAATAACCACTTCCTCATGTAAAACTACAGAACTTCAGTCGTTTCAAACTGAAGTTCTTTTAGTCGTCAGTTTATACCTTGGTGAGAGTCCTAACGGCTGCTCATCCACACGGTTGATAATAAAACTAATTCTATACTTAAAGAGCGAGAGATGTAGCATGAAGGTGATAATGAATCAGTGGGAATGTTAAAAGAACTAACAAACACTATTACTATGTACAGTATATTGGTTTATGGAGTATATATTGTATATTGCTCAATTCTGAAAATGTTTGATAGACATTGCTAAGTTGAGTATAACGCTAGCTAGTGGAATTAAACTTCACTGAAATTGTGCTTCAGGTAGAACATTAAAAAGCACACCTGCTGTACACTTCCTCTGCTTTGTACTTTTTGATAAGCACTACTGTTCAGTTTGTGGTCACCTCCATTCTTCCAGTTTTTATTTTCACATTTATGCAGTTCATATCCAGTGAATAACTGCCAGAGGTTAATAAAGTAAACAAACACTAAAAATGTATGTAAATTTTCTCTAAAACAGGTTGAAGCATCTTTTCTGCAGCAATAAAAGTGAAGCCTTGAAAACTGATGCAAACAACAGGTGGTGTCCCAACATTTGTTGATTACAACAACAAATGAGGCAGTGCTGGAAAAGCCTTTGTCACTACACCCTCTGAAACATTATTTGGAAAAAGGCACTTAACAAAGGAAGTCAGACTTTTTCATAGTTCCATCCTACAACAGGCTAATGACCCAGAAAACACCTCCAGGCTGTGCAGAAGAAAAGAAGCCGATTGTAAACTTCAGATGATGGGATAGAAGCACAGTGTCCAGACTTTCCAGATGAAGAGTGAAAGCAGAGCAGCCTATAAGTGCAACACATCTGTGGGAACTTCTGCAACAGTGCTACCTGTCTCAGTAATACTGGATTTCAGTTGAGAAAAGAATGCCACAAGTGTGTTTGGCTGTTGAATGGCGCCAGTAACAAATGGAAGAATAGAGGTGACCCCAAACTCACACTTGACTGACAATGAATCCTGAAGTTCATCTTGTGACTGTGGTACAGTAAACAGGATTAGGTAGGTAGGTACTTCCTTAATCCCCAGAGGGCAAATGGAATGGTACAAAAGTTTTGTCCTGAATACAACTACTTGCTATAACTTGACATACTTACTTGCTAAAGTAGGCAAAGCTATGAAAGAAAAAAACATTTCACATGATGGACAAGTGGCAGTGCACCTTACAGCCTAAACATACTTATTCATGAAGCCAAAGATCATTACACTTCCAAACACAGTACATATTCTCCCATCTTGACAACTTTTGTGTCATGCTGACTCTAAAGAACCTTGCTTATCTAACTGGTCATGTATTGTGTGTGTTAAGGTGTAAATTCAAAAAGTAAATTACATCAATTTTAGTATTTGTTACATTGATAGTGGATGTTTTTTCTCATTTGTGTAAAACTCAGCAGTCTTCTAATAGCATGACATAGGCTACAGCACTTACAATACAAACTTATTTGTAACATGCACACATATGCAGATAAAAACCCCAAGTACACAAACATGCAGTGAATAAAATACCAATATGGTACAATAAGGCATCATATTAATAGTTCTGTGGTATATCCCTAAGCCAGACTTGGTTCAAGATCAACACAAAGGACAATGTAACAAAAGAGAGCAGTGGAAAAAAGACAAACACATTTTTGATGTATTTGTATGTAATTATCATTCAAGTTCCACACCACTATAAATCCTGCCATTTATACATTTGACTCTATTTTCATTTGGTAATTTTACTAGATACTTCCCAAGAAAATGCAGCAGATTTCAATGATGTATAAAGAGACTGACACTCCCTAGCCAACAAGATGGATGAAATCCTTCTCGTCAACAGGACTAACTCTGACTTTGCACGCTCCACTGCTTTATGCTTTACGGAGACCTGGCTCAGCAACTCCATTGCGGACAGTGCGATCCAAGTACCGGGCTTCCAGGTGTACAGAGCGGATCGCATAACGGAGCTGTCCAGGAAAACGAGAGGAGGGGGAATCTGTCTCTACATAAATGAAGGTTGGTACATGGATGTCACGGTGCTACAGAGGACATGTAACGCAGACCTAGAGACTCTTTTTATCAACTACAAACCTTTTTATTCTGCCCAAGAATTTAATTCTTTCATTCTAATAGGAGTGTACATAACACCGCAGGCTAACGCTAGCACACTACAGCTCCTGGCAGAACTGATAACTAGCCTGGAGCTAGAACATCCTGACTCTCCACTCATTGTTCTAGGGGACTTTAACAGAGCAAATCTCAACCACGAACTGCCCAAATACAGACAGCACGTCACCTGTCCCACCAGGGACAAAATCACACTGGACCACTGCTACACAACAATAAAAGATGCCTATCACTCTGTCCCCTGTGCAGCCCTTGGACTCTCTGACCACTGTATGGTCCATCTTATTCCAACCTACAGGCAGAAACTTAAAGCTGCGAAGCCTGTAGTCAAAACAGTGAAGAGCTGGACTGAGGAAGCTAAGTCAGAGCTACAGGCCTGCTTTGACTGCACAGACTGGAGTGTATTTGAGACTGCAGCTACAGACCTGGATGAACTCACTGACACTGTGACATCCTACATCAGCTTTCGTGAGGATGAGTGTGTTCCCACCAAGTCCTTTTGTACATACAACAACAACAAGCCCTGGTTCACAGAATCAGAATCAGAATCAGCTTTAGTGGCCAGATGTGTTGCACACACGAGGAATTTGACTCGGGTACAGCCGCTCTCAATGCCTATGTTCATGTCCTTGTGTAAGGCAGCAGTGGGCAAGTAACCAATATAAGGCTGAGAACAGAAGTAAAGAAGTAATGTGCAATCAAGCAAAAGAACGTGCCTTAGGAGTAGTGCTTATTGTCTGGGTGCTGGATGTGGTTTTCCCCAGCCTCACCTGCTGCTTCCTGTCTGTCAGAAAGCTAGTAATCCACTGACAGGTGGGGGCAGGCACAGTGAGCTGGGTCAGTTTGGAGTGGAGGATGTCCAGGATGATGGTGTTGAATGCTGAGCTGAAGTCCACAAAGAGGGCCCGTACATAGGTCCCTGGGGAGTCAAGGTGATGCAGAATGTAATGATGTTAACTGCATCATCCACTGACCTGTTTGCCCGGTAGGTGAACTGCAGGGGGTCTAGCAGGGGGTCTACGGATGTCCTTCAGGTGGGCCGACACCAGTCTTTCAAAGCACTTCATAACTACAGATGTCAGGGCGACAGGTCTGTAGTCGTTCAGTCCACTGATGGAGGTTTTCTTGGGGACTGGAATGATGGTGGAGCGTTTGAAGCAGGAGGGGACTTCACACAGCTCCAGTGACCTGTTGAAGATGAGTGTGAAGATGGGGGCCAGCTGATCAGCACACACTTTCAGGCAGGAGGGGGTCACACCATCTGGGCCTGGTGCCTTTCTGATCCTTTGTTTTTTAAAGAGGCCATGCACATTTTTTTCACAGATTGTTGGATCTGATACATTTTTTAGATGCAACTGGTTCTTTTATCTGAAGGTCCCAAGAAGTAACACTCAAGAAACAGGAATCAGCTTTATGTAGATTTATTTTCTTCTGGTTAAATGCAGAGTTATTACAGCGCTGGGCTCTATGAGATGACAAGTCTCCAAGAGCCTAGATAATCAAAAATCATTCACATTTATCTTCTCGGGCTAGGACTGCCCTGTACATGGGTGGTCACGTAAATATTCCAGAATGTTCGTATAAGCAGTATGTGTGTGTGTGTGTGTGTGTGTGTGTTGTTATCTTCAGGCGTTTCTCTATTTTCAGGCATTTCTCTCTAAGTGAAAGTGGACATGCAGTTAGCTGTGCCACTTACTTCCCTGATTCTGTTGTAAAAAAAACCCTTACTCATGCTTCAGACATGGGTGAATAGTTCAAGCCCGTCAGACTTCACGTCTGTTAAGTAGCATAAATTAACAGTATCTTATCTATCGTTTCCAGAACGACGCTTATCTATGCAATCTATTCTTGCACAATTTTCCAAGAAGATGAAAAATACTACAAGTTGACTCGAAGCTGAATATTATAACTTGAATGCATACATGAGAGCCAGGTTAATACTGATACATGGTGCTGTTAATGAAACACAGACAGTCATACTAAACTCTATCATTATAAAAGCAAAATAATACTAACAGTAAATAAAACAACTGTAACTCCTGAAATCCAATCCTAACACATTCATGTTGAATGCTAGTAGTAAATTGTATGTGTGTGCATGTGTGTTCAAGTTCGCATGATGGCGACTCACAACAGTTTGCATTTTTTAGTGAGTTTTGTTTCTCTTCTGGTGCCTGCGCATTTCTACAGCCATTACTATCTGATCTGCCCTCAACTAGGTTACAGTCTTCAAATACTGGTCTGAGGGACAACATGTGACAAGGCAAAAATGGCTTCACTCTCACCCCTTGGAAACCAACCAGAATGTAGAAATATTCATTTCTACTGGACAAGATTTATTGTGACTCTGTGTCCTGTTTTCTAGTTTGTGATCATTATTTACAGCAGATACTCATATTCTCTTCTCTATCCCACAAGTGTGGGTAAAGGTACAATTTTGTGAAAGAAATGTCACTCTAGTTGCAGAGAAGCTCAGTGGTCCCTAGTGAAAGTTATTTTTAGGAAGTGGGTAAAGTGCTAGCTGTTAATTTGTTACAGCACTCTTACAATGAGTGGCATTTAAGTCTCAGGAATTCCTTTCTGCGACCCGGTCCTGGATAAGCGGAGGAAAATGGATGGATGGATGGAATTCCTTTCAGCCTTTGTCACTTTACAGCAGGCTACGTGCTGTCTTTGCCTCTCTTTCCATAGAAAATTGTGGTCTGTTGTAAGACAAAGGACAGTTTGAACCTGCCAGTGATATTACTGTATGTAGTGATGGTCCTCTGACACGTGAGGCTTCAACACATGCGCAGTAGCCCATGAAGCGATTGTATCAGTGTGGTGATTCGCTATGGCGACCCCTAAAAAACAGGAAAAGCCTAAAGTGAATTTCTTTATGTATATATATACGTGACTAGTGACGTTTGAAGCAGTTGAATGCCTTGGACGTCATACAAATGGAGAGAGAGGGAGAGAGAGAGAGAGAGAGAGAGTAGATTAACTATCTAGCTAGATATACATACTGTATCTAGATAAGTTACACAAGCACACCCACGTCACGTGCCAAATGTCGACATGCGAGTCAGTGTGGTGATTCGCTATGGCGACCCCTAAAAAACAGGAAAAGCCTAAAGTGAATTTCTTTATGTATATATATGGAGAGAGAGGGAGAGAGAGAGAGAGAGAGAGAGTAGATTAACTATCTAGCTAGATATACATACTGTATCTAGATAAGTTACACAAGCACACCCACGTACCAATGAACCCCAAAACATACTTTTCCGAACCCCATAATATATTCTGTATTTGCACCAGTTCCATGTGAAAATGACATCTGTCTGAATTTGTAGACCACATCTCTTGAATGTTGTAGCACTATTTAAATGTTTCATAACACAGAATATAAGTGAGGAGTATATAGGGTTACAATCAGACATGCCAAATAAGAAACATGGTCTTTAACATGAGTCCATGTTTATTTTATGTTTTACTGTCAGCTTGAAACCATACAACTATGTAGTGTAGTGGAACAGGAATATGCATGGAGAATCAAATCCCAAACAATCCATGAACCAATGACACGTCTTGATTGCACTTCATCTTATTGACCACTAGATGTCCTACTCGAGCACTGTGTCATTGAAGCCTCCAGTAATGAACCATTTTGTGAATACTGTGTCTAGGCTTCAACAAAGCCTCCATCAACTATCACTAATATTGTGTTTCACAGTGAGTTTTTTTTTTATTGAATTGTCGTGCTGGGTTGCAACACCATGACACATTGAATTTAATCAGAAGTGTCTGTAGTGGATTTGTAGCTGTACATTAAGGATTATGGCAAAGATATACTCATCAAAATGTGTTTGTATTGACTACATAATCATTTGACATCATTTGTTTCAAAGGCAATGGCAATTGTGGGTGAGGGAACTACAACTCCCATAATGTCTTGTCCTCCGTTGTCTTGGTAACGGTTGACGTCAGGGCCCCGCTCTCCACCTTGTGCTTTAGGCTGGTGTGATTGGAGGGAAATATACACAAAGAAGAAGAAGAAGAAGAAAGATTGGAGGGAAACCCCGTGGATGGGTTTCAGACTGACGGACATCAAATCAGCTGTATCTTGGTCCGCCGACAGCGCTGCTATTTGTTAGACTTGTTACTCAGGTATGGAAGGACTTTTCAAACTGTACTTTTACGTTTGCATAGTTGATTTTTGAGGTGTATAACTTATCTCAAGATAGAGCTATACCGGAGGCCCATTGTCTTTGACTGTTGGGCAGCATGTAACGGCAATAATTATCAGACTAAAGAACAATGATTAGCATAGCTTTGCTTTGGGATGTGTCTAATGGCTGGTTTCAAAATGGAACATCAGGAGGAGAAGGCGTGTCAGGTCAAAATTGCACAAATGCTTGTTGCGGTGTAACAGTGTTACTTACTTAAAGTGTCAAGTACTGCATTGGCGAAGCAGAAATGGGAGGCAAAATGAGATTCCCATCTGCCTCAACACGGCTAAGGCGCACACCTTTTAAATGATTATCGGCACGCCAACCAGCTAAGTCATCAGTTGTAGGGCTTGAGGTAAACACAAACGTCTGGAGGTCTGTGATCGGTCATTTTGAAGACATAGTTGTAAGTTTGTCCGAGTAGCTGTGAAAATGGGTTTAATGCCAACCCCTGTCACATTAATAAAGGCTGTCTGGGGAAAGCTTCTGTTTTCAGGAAATAGTCGTCGTCATACTAGAACCTGGTCACGAGGGCCTAACTAAAACGTCTTTGAGTGTGGTTTCTCGTCAGAAATGTCTGTGAATGGAATGGATGCATTTGGGTCCACACCGGTCAAATATACTGACATTAGTAACAGCAAGCCAAACGCAAAAAGCACCGTAGTTCCTCACTTTACTGCATTTTGGGCGAGCCACAGGTACAGGAATGGGTGTGGTGTGTTTTTGTGTGTGTGTCTGTGTGTGTGTACGCGCGCGCGCACGCATACACACTCACAGACACACACAGACAGGAGAAAGGGGGCCATATCTGCCTTTGCCCCTGAGGCAGGATTGGGTTTCCTCGCATTTATCTTGCATCGTCGTTCGTCAAATAGTCTTGTACATTAACACGCCACTTAAGTTAAAGTGCACTTTAACTTTTGTTGCAGATTTATTTATCGCCGAAAATGCACACACCCCGGTTTTTTCCGTGGGTCATGTTGCATCATGTTCACGGATGCATCGCCAGCCTTTAGCTTTATTTGGTTTCCCAACTTGATATGGGTGTGATCTGTGTTAGAACTGGCTTTCTTTCCTGTCTCTCAGGACGGATTTTGAGCATACCGCACTACATGCACCCTTTCATTTTATTTTAATTTTTTAATTGAGAAATTCACATCAACATACATTTCAGGAATGGAACAATAGCACGTATTACAGATTAACCAGAAACGTACACCATCAACTCATAAGGACAGAAAACGAGGCAAAACGTATACTATACAGGAGATAATGTACTGTGCAGCCAGTGTTAACAGTGTATATATACAGTGCTAGAACAGAAGGAGCCGATTGGTTCTCATTTTAGAACCAAGTATTGAGACATTGCCTTAAAATTCTCAGATATAGATTTGCTTTGATTTGTCGGTGTATTTTTTGGGCTTTAGAATAGTTCATTTCAACCATGAACAAAGCAAATGAGGGTTTGCTCCCTTTCCACTTTGATGTATAGATATATTTTCCCATGACAATAATTAAATGAGACATTTTAGATGGAAAGTTGCCATCCCTGGTAGGCTAGTGGTTAAGGCGCAGCACTCTCCCTGCTGCGGCTCGGTTCGAATCAGGGTTGCATCAGGAAGGGCATCCGGCATAAAACACGTGCCAAATGTCAACATGGAGTCGTCAGTGTGACAATTGGCTGTGGTGACCCCTAAACAGGAAAAGCCAAAAGTGGCTTTCCTTATTTCTATTTTAGATGGAAAGTTGCCTATCTAATCTAAAATCTAAAAATCTAATGTTAGAATATTTGTATATTGGAATATTATCAGTTTTTAAAGGTTGCCAGCCCTGGATGTCTTTACTAAATTGTTGACTAACAGAGCATGCACAAAGAGTGCAAAAAGAACAAGGTTCATATTTAAAATGGAATGGTCTTAAACTTGTATTGTGCATTTCCATGCGTTGCAGCACACTCGAGGCACTTTCACACTATTTGGCCATTCGCTCACACATTCACACACCAGTGACAGCACTGGGAGCATCTAGGAGTTCATTGTCTTGCTTAAGGACACTTCGACATGTGGCTTAAACTGGTTGGTAAACTAGGCAATAACCGTGTCTCAGACAGAAGCAAATTTCCTTTAAGAACATTGTTTCAACAGAAAAACAAGTGTGCTGCAAGGCTTGTTAATCCAACAAATCCATATGGCAGCCCAAAATTATATATTGTCAATTTAAATGGGTCGCAATTTAAATCTTGCATCATATCCAGCTGCCGTTTATTTTTAAATGCACGGATATGTTTGTCACTCTTTTGCATTTAAATACTGATGTTAATGTGGTTGAAATTATCAATAAAGTTCATGCCAGTTGATTTTCACACACACACACATATGAAAGGAAGAACGAACACACACACACATATATGAAAGAAAGAAAGAACACACATATATATGAAAAGACAGTCAACTGACAATCTTTATTTATGTACAGCCCTACTTCACCTCAATGCAGGCGATACCAAAAATAATACCAGGTACTATTGTCAATACTTGACTGATGAGAAAACAAATAAGAGTTTAGCAGGTACCAGGTGGTGGAATAGTTTGAACACTTGTCATTAAATGCTCCTAAATCTAAAATTTTCTTGGTTGTGTTCACTACTCAGTCTGTAATAGGTGCTTTTGTAAATAGCCAAAACAAGTGAGAAATGTTCTCTTGTCACTCACGTAATTGACCTGTGGCTGTCCTTTTCTTTCCTCCAGTGAGCAGTCATGAGTGAGGCACTCCGGAAAGAACAGGTGCAAAAGGCCAAATTGGCCGAGCAGGCTGAGCGTTATGACGACATGGCTGCTGCAATGAAAGCTGTTACCGAGAGTAGCGAACAGCTGTCAAATGAGGAGCGCAACTTGCTCTCAGTGGCCTACAAGAATGTGGTGGGTGCCCGGAGATCCTCATGGCGTGTGGTGTCCAGCATCGAGCAGAAGGCTGAAGGCTGCGAAAGGAAGCAGGCTTTGGCCAAAGAGTACCAGGAAAAAATTGAGAAAGAACTGAAAGAAATCTGCACAGATGTACTGGTAAGATCAGACTGGCTTTCACGGGGGAGGCTGTGGCTCAGGAGGTAGAGTGGGTTGTTTTCTAACCAGAGGATTACCGATTTGATTCCTAGCTTGTCCGATCAACATGTTGAAGTGTCCTTGAGCAAGACACTGAACCCCCAGTTGCTCCCGGTGATAACACCAGTGTGTGAATGGCCAAGTAGTGTGAAAGTGCTTTGAGTGTGCTGTAAAGCATAGAAAAGTGCTATACAACAGAGAGGAGGAGCTGGTCAGACTGGGGGGGGGGGTGCCGGTGCCGGTAAAGCAGCACTGAACGAATTGTGCAGATAAAATGGCAAGGGGGCATTGTTCTGTAGTTAATTGATCATGGATTATATAGTTCTCTCTGGCATAAAAAGGTATTGTAATAATGGTGTGGCAAAATATATTTGGGCGGCCCTCCAAAATAAAGTCAATGTGTGGGGAAACCTTGAACTGGTAAGATGTAAAAGCTAGACCTGTGGATATAATATCTCTGGTCATCTCCTTTTTCACATTTGGGTTATGTGAAGAAACTGACTGAGTGAGTTGAACACCACAGTAATACCTCCCTTCAACAGCTCATGTTGTTGGATGTGTCATTTCTGTCAACAAAATGCAGTGGACCTTGGAGAGAAGTGCCACACCTCAGCTGCTTAATTTCTATGCCTAGTTCTCTCGGGGTTTAACTGCAACCAGTGATTACTTTTAGTGTAGCATTCTTATGAACATGTACTACTAATATGGAAAAATGTTTCAAGTGGGGTGAGAGTATGTAAAATGTTGGGCTGGACCAAAATATCAGACATTCATTGGGTAGGTAATTGGTTTTCAATTTTAATATTTTGAATATTCAAGAGACCCCAACCTCGCTGCCGCACAGCAGTGCACCAGTGATACCTACAGTTTTGTTAGCAAAGCTCTGTGTGGAAATCATTCAGGTAGCAGCTGTTGCTTAAAATGACAACCAGCTGGGTCATATCAGCTGTTGCTAACTAACATTAACTCCATGAATTAAATTGATGACGGGACAAAATCAAAGTGGCTGCTGTTGGGTTTATGACCTCACTGCAGTTGGCAGGGGGACAGACTACACGCTGTCTGCTGTTAGCCCAAGATAATTTGAGGTAAAGAGGCATCACTCTGTAACACTGAATAATACGTGTGAACTAAGAGCTTTTCTGTTGGTCCAACAACTCCCAACAGAATAAGACATCTTCACAGGTAAAACTATCAGTAGCACATTTTGTGTGCACGCAAATGGTTGTGAAGATCCGATGTTTGTTCATCTGTTACATTACATATTACAAGCCAGCCTTATTCCTGGTAATGCTCCAAGTGGTCCTCATTATTCCTGCAGAAGTAACACTAAACTCCTCTCGGTATAATGTGATCCATTACAACACCATCAAACTACGATAAAGTGCTGACAAATTTACATTTCTGACAGTATCAACAAAAACAGATTTTTATAATTATCACAAAAGTAGATTTTATGGCATTGCATTTTTTTCGTCCATGTTAATGTACCATGGCCTAATTAACCCTTATGCATCCCTAAGTACATTTTTGTCCTTTTCACGTTTTTATTTTCAAGCCAATTTGGCTGTGTTCAATGAATGTAGCTCAAACTTGCCAAATGATATATATTTTTTTCTTTTAAATTTAAAATTGAGGTCTCACTTCCTTAAATTGGCCTAAAATGGCTAAGAAAAAACATCCATCCAAATATCGCCCTCCAGACATTTTTTGTCCCATTGAAACCCATTAAAAACGCTATTTTTGGTGCCATATTTAACCTACAATAAAGCAATGCACCACGTTCTGTTCATAATGAACTTTAAAGTACCTAGTCCCAACTTGTAATTCTGATACTCATCCACCAGATGGTAACATGATTTCATTTTCGAAGCCTGCAGCCAAAACGAAACCAAAGTGCACCTTTTCCCACTGTGTTTTGCTAGGCTGACTTGCTAATAATGAAAGGATTTGATAAAGTGCATATCAATTTTGATGTTGTATTGATCCAGTGTGCGCCTCTGTGTGTTTGTGCAAATTCTTGTGCGTGCAAACACGCGCAAAGCTGTTATAATGGTGTAAAATGAATGAAATGGGTTTGTGTGTGTCCAAATTCACAACTCCTTTCTCTTAGAAGGTCACACTCTTTGTTATATGAACTATTTTGTGATAATTGTGTGACAACATGGCCACTGGTGCAGGATCGGCTCTGCTCGGCCACCGTCTGCAGCGCTTTCCGCATGCACACTGTACGGGTTGAAACATGAGCTGTGTGGGTGCTCCTACCATGAACAGACGTGTAAATTCAGAAATGCACAGCCATGCATAGACTCCCTCCATATTACATCAATAATGAGACACACTTTATATATCATTTTCACGCATCAATATCAATGTTGCTACCAATCACTGACCCATCCCAGGGCCTAATAATAAAATACTGGTTGAAATGGATTTTTTGAAAATTATTTCCTGTTTTTGTTTTTTCCATTGAAAAACGTGTTATGACAACATACTGGCCTTTAAAGGGTTAAAAAAAAAATCCCAAAATATAATTAATATTTGATATGTATATTTCAAACAGAAGTAGTATTAAAAGATTGGCTAGTTTAAAGTGGAAAAAATATGAATTTATGACATTGTTAGAGCTGTTTTTCCCAAAGGGTACTTTTTTTTTGTCCGTCCAGAGGGACACTTTTGGATGTATTTTAAAGGATGGCATGAGGGTTAAGATGAGTATGGCTTACTTTATCAGTTTTCCAGGGGGTGAAAAGGTAGAAAAATGAACTGCTGTTACAGAACTGAGGCAGCCATCTGCAGCACCAACTCTCACACACGGTCAGTGTCTTGCCCAAATACACTTCAACATGTAGACTGGGGAGAACGGGAATCAAACTGCTGATCTTCTGGTTGGGGGGGTGACCGCTCTATCTCCTGATCCAAAGCTCAGGTGTGACCCTTCATTACATTATTTGAACAAATCTATGAATTTTTCTACATTTTATTTACAAAATGGAAGATGTTCACCGATCAGGCATAACATTATGACCACTGGCAGGTGAAGTGAATAACATTGACTATCTGTTACAGTGACACCTGTCAATGTGTGGGGTATATTAGGCAGCAAGTGAACATTCAGTCCTCAAAGTTGATGTGTTGGAAGCAGGAAAAATGGGCAAGTGTAAGGATCTGAGTGACTTTGACAAGGGTCAAACTGTGATGGTGAGATGACTGGGTCAGAGCATCTCCCACACTGCAGGTCTTGGTGGGTGTTGTTGGTCTGCAGTGGTTAGTACCTACCAACAGTGTCTAAGGAAGGACAAATGGTGAACTGGAGACAGGGTCATGGACGCCCATGGCTCACTGATGATGAGGTTGATCTACTGTAGATTAAAGCTTTAACTTCCATTTGTACTTTTAAAAAGATTAAAGTTTATTTGAATCTTTGTTAAAATGGTTGAAAATGAGAAACACTGTCCATTGGTCTCTATGAAGAGAATTGTGACACGAGTGCCAACCAACTGCCACACTGACTCCTATGTAGACAGTATTAGGCAGGTGGTCATAATGTTATGTAGATCAACTCTGCTGTTTCTGCTTCTTCATTGTGCACCAGTCCAAACTGTAAAGCAAAGTACACACATTAAAGCTGAATGTCTTCCAAAGTCTGTTCTTTTCTAACGGTCTGTTTGTTTTCTCCCACAGGATCTCTTGGAGAAGCATCTCATTCCCAAAGCCGCTGCACCAGAAAGCAAAGTCTTCTATTTGAAAATGAAAGGAGATTACTACCGCTACTTGGCTGAGGTGGCTTCAGGAGAAGAGAAGAATTGTAAGCTCTGTTAATTCCTTTTTATACCATCTGTGTGTGAGGGTGGTGGCTTTTCTTGTTCATTATGTATGTTTACATTTTGCAAACTAGAAATCTGGATGGTAAGACCTGATATCTATTGAAGTATTTCAACTGTCGGAACTTAACAAGTGGTATACCCCGTACTTCCCTCCTCATAACCTCCCCAGGTTCATGTGGACCGTCCTGCCTTGTTTTGCCACTGTATTTTCTCTGTGTCAGCTCTGTTTAGAGGAGGGAGAGGCTCCACCCCTGAAGCACAGCAGCCCGCTGAGCAGAGGGAGAAATAGAGATGTGGAGTATCACTCCACAGTTCAACAATCAGTGTGACCATATGAGCAATTTATCAAACAGCTGTTGAACAAGCAGAACACAGATAGTGTAGCCAGTGTAAGATGGTATGTAGCACTTGTACAGCTGAGCTTTTTTTTATTTTAACACTTCTGAAAAAGTTTATTCAGGCCTTCAGAAACAATTGTGTTGTCTTCCATGAAGCCACCTCCCTGGTGCTCTCCACCCAACCGAAACTGAAAAAAGAGATCCTTGTTAATAGAGAGAAGAGGAGTTGTCTGTCTGTAGTATTAGTCATCACTACCATATTGTAGTGTGTTGGGGAAAATCATTAGATACCTTTTTGAGCTAACTTAAAGGTGGGGTTAGCGATTCATTTCAGAAGCATTTTTTTGTTACATTTCTTGAAATTCTCTTTTCATCCTGATGGCATTGATACACGAACAGCATAAAGAAAAAATGGGTCATCTGTGGCAGCAGCAGAAAAAAGCCTGACCAGTAAATTTACTCAGTCTCAGGAAAACCATTGGATGGTCTACCTGCCTGTCAACCTAACTTCCTACCTGTGCCCACTTTGCCTGTGCACTCGATGCATGACCCAAGAGTGTCCCACAAGGCCTTGCAGTTACAGCCCAACTTATTACTCCTCTGTTTTAACAGCTAAAGCTCACAGGCTATGGCAGAGAATGTCCCCACAGCAGCTTTCAGTTGCAAACGGAGACTGTTTTCTAGAAAGTTGCAACTAAAAAGAAGTTGGATGCTGCAAAGAGTAAAATGAGAATTAACACTGGTATGACTTTTGAACAATGGTGACAACTGAAAAAACAAAAAAGGTCTGAAAAGCGACGCCATGGTGGCTGCATTTGTCCTGGGCAGGTAATTATTGCTTTTGTTTTGTATGGGGGGGATTTCAGTGTTTCCACTGGTAACATTTCTCAGTGGTGTTCCGCCACACTAAAATCTTTACCACCATGGCTTAAAAACCCCAACCAATTAATCATTTAATCAAGTACTCCAGTGACTCACATGGGAAGCCCGTAAAACAACAGGTAGCGTCACGTACACAGGTACAGTTAAGGCCAGTTCAGACAGCATAGTTTGAGATGCATTTTTCATGCAACTCTATTTTGTGAAATGTCTCCCTGATGTGCATGTGAGCCATGCTTCAGGTGTTTTCTGTGGTGCATTGAGTGCAGCGTAATCTCCTCCCACTACTGTTTAAATCCCCCGAGTCCCCAGTTATTTGCTGTTGTGAGCTGTTTACTGGTGTCTGTTATGATTATGCTCACAAGGCCAACAGGTGACTGAAATCATGATTTGGTACAAAAGTGGCATCCAGGAAAGACCTCGCCCCTTTTGTGCAAAGATGGGCCGAGGATCGCCAGTTTGACAACATGTGTGAGGAAAATTATTGAAATGTTTAAAACCAATGTTCCTCAAAGAAAGAGAGGAAGGATTTGGACATGTCACCCTCTACGGTGCAGAACATGATTAAAAGATTCAAGGAGTCTGGAGGGATTTCTGTGTTTAAAGGGCAAAAGGTACAAGCCTTAGCGGGATGACCATGCTCTCTGAACTGCATAAAGAACCATCACTCTTCTGTAAGCGATATAACCACATGGGCTTTGGATGACTTTGGCACACCTGTCGGGCACTACAGTACGTAGTTAAAATCCATAAACACTGCTTAAAACTGTACTGTGCCCAAAGGAAGCCCTGTGTCAACAGTGTCCAGAGGTGCAGTTGACTGATCTGGGCTCAGTGGCATCTGTGATGGACCATCACACAGTGGAAATGTGTACTGTGGTTAGACGAATCAGTATTTTAAAAGAGTGTAAAGCTTCATACTGCCACATTGCCAAGGCCTGGCTGTGGAGGAAAAGGGTCTGAGTGCTGGACTGGCCTGCCCGCAGTCCCAACCTGTCCCCAGTAGAGAATGTGTGGTGCGTTTTGAAAGGACTGTTGTTTGCAGGAGGGATGGGACAAAATGACACCTGATGCACTTAATCACTTGGTGTCCTCAGTCCCTAAACACTTTTTAAGTGTTGTGAACGGGAACATCACACCATGGTAAACCCTTAACTTTCCCAAATTTTTTTGAAATGTGTTTAATGTGTCAGAAATGAAGTTTTTTTTTTGTTTGTTTTGTTTTGTTTTACAAAAATAAATTCATGAACCATCGTATCAAATAATGTGCTTCTGTATTGTTTTTGATGTAATACAGGACACAGATGAATTACAAATCACTATTTTTGGTTTTAATTTTGAATTTACATACCGTCCCATCTTTTTCTGATTTGGGGTTTTAGTATTTTTTTTTTTTTTTGTTTGTTTTGTTTAGTTTTTTGTTTTTAATCCACTGTATTAGAACCATTATGTAGTCACTTATTATAAAGTTTAGGTTCCACAGCTCTTATGCTCTTTGTTTCCTCTCAGCCATCATTAAAGACTCACAGGCTGCCTACCAGAAAGCCTTTGATATCAGCAAAGAAGAAATGCAGCCTACACACCCAATCCGTCTTGGTCTGGCCCTCAATTTCTCTGTTTTCTACTATGAGATTCTCAACTCACCTGATCAGGCCTGTCAGCTGGCCAAAAGCGTAAGCACACACACACACACACACACACACACACAGTGAAACCTTGGATTGTGAGTATAATTCATTCTGGCAACGTGCTCGTAATCCAAAGCGAATTTCCCCATAAGAAATAATGGAAACTCCGATGACTTGTTCCACAACCACTTTTTCATATAAAAATGATTACAGTAATACAAAATACAGTAAAAATTAAAACAAATTAACCTGTACTTTACCTTTGGAAAGAATCGTGGCTGGCATGAGGGGCCATTGTTGCAGTATAGATATTGACTATACGAGTGAGGCGCGAGAACCATTGGTTCAGTTGTGACGTGACACTTGGCAGTGAAAGCAGTACTACTTGTATTGCGATACCTCGCTTGTCTTTCGAATCAAATTTTTTGCTCGTCTTGCTTAAACACTCGCATACCGAGTTACTTGCAATCCAAAGTTCCAGTGTATATATAAATAATGCATATTTATTAACAATGTGTGTTTTTTTTTTTTGTTTTTTTAAATATGAGGACTGACCTGAAACGCATCACACCACCCGTCCTCTTGTTTTTAACCACTGTAATTTTTCCAGCAGTTAAAAATGTTGTTTGTGTTATAGGCTTTTGATGAGGCCATTGCAGAGCTTGATACACTGAGTGAAGATTCATACAAAGACAGCACACTAATCATGCAGCTACTGAGAGACAACTTGACAGTAAGTTTGTAATTTCTTAAACACATCCCAACTCACTCAAGACAGATTTTATACATGAAAGAATAATGTAGGTTATTGAAACAGTTATTTTTGTTGATTAGTATACCCACAGAGTCGGCGTCCGAGGTTTGGGTCGGCCGGGCACTCAGTTTTTTTTTTTTTTTTTTTTTTTTTAAACTCGTCATAAGTGGCCTATGATCTGCCCTTTGTCTGGTCTGTCACCCAGGACCTGTTTCCCATGAGAGACCCCATCAGGGACATATAGCCCCCTGACAACATAACTCCTGGGATAATTTAGCCACTCAAACCCTTCCACCACATTAAAGTGTCTGTTCCAGGGAAGGGAGCTCTTGTTCATGAGTGAGGCAAAAATGGAGCGGCAGGTTGACAGATGGATCGGTGCGGCATCCGCAGTAATGTGGTCTCTGTACCGGTCCGTTGTGGCGAAGAAAGAGCAGAGTCGTAAGGCAAAACTCTCAGTTTACCAGTCGATCTATGTTCCTACCCTCACCTATGGCCATGAACTTTGGATCATGACCGAAAGAATGAGATAGCAGATACAAGCGGCAGAAATTAGTTTCCGGAGAGTGACTGGGTGCACCCTTAGGGATAGGGTGCAGAGCTCAGTCACCAGTGAGGAGCTCGGAGTAGAGCCGCTGCTCCTCCACATTGAGAGGAACCAGTTGAGGTGGCTCGGGCACCTGTTTCGGATGCCCCCTGGACGCCTCCCTGGGGAGGTATTCTGGGCAGGTCCCTCTGGGAGAAGGCTTTGGGGCAGACCCAGGACACATTGGAGAGACTATGTCTCCCGGCTGGCCTGGAAACACCTTGGGGTTCCTCCTGAGGAGCTAGAGGAGGTGTGTGGGGAGAGGGAAGTCTGGGGGGCTCTGCTCACACTATTGCCCTCACGACCCGGTCTCGGATAAAGCGGACGAAGATGGATGGATGGATATACTATCCACCCACATTCAGGTTAAATCATGTTCTTAAAATAACCATGATTGTACTGGTCACAGTTGGGAAGCCTGTGGTGCTTGACCACAAGCTGAAGTACTGATCTCTGCATGTTCACTTTAAGTGGCTCTGACCAAATTTGTCCCTTTAATTTTCAAATGTTCGAGAGCGAGTGAGAATCAAAACAAACTCTGTTGGTACCCCCTCATCTGCTCGCTCCACTCCTCCTGCCCTGGAGCTACAGCTGGAGACGGACTCTGCAGTCTGGCAGCTCAGCAGTAATAACCGGCTCCAGAACTAACGTACAGAATGTAGCCCATGGTTTTCAGTGACATGGGTCCTATTTCCTACCTAAATCAGCAACACAAGCAAACAGTTTTTCTCAGTAATAATGATACAGTACTACTGCCACTATCGCATCACTTTCAATATTACATACTTGACACACACAACTTTATAAGGCAGGGGTGGCCAATTCCAGCAGAGGGACACTGTCCTGCTAGTTTTCCAACTATCCGTTGGAAAACAAGCAGGACAGCGGCCCTCGAGGACTGGAATTGGCCACCCCTGTTATAAGGTAACCGTGAGTTTTATATGAAACATGAGAAATTACATGCTACACTTTGATAGTTGAACAATCTCCCCACTTTTCTAGTTTGTCTCACTAAGACACTACAGGGAGTGTAGTGTTACTCCCATCATTAACAACCCGTGTGGCCTGGACCAAAACAGCAAAAATTAGCAAATTGAGCTAAATGACTTCATTTACTAATCCAGGAAACCACGCTTGTTTCTGCTAAGCAGACAACAAAACATTGCAGTCAGTTGGAATGACTCCAAATTACAACCACAATAATTCAATACAAAGGTACAAAATTGAAATGCTAACATTAGTTTGCCAATGACACTGGCATATACCTAGCTACCTGCATGTCTAGCAGGAAGAAAGCTGCATCTATGTCAGTACAGCAGCTGCCACCACTTCAGCCAATAGCAAAATTCTATTTCAGTATGTGGGTTTGACCAGTAGAGGGCTGTCCCCGTATTTATGACACACAATGCAGAATTCAACTGCTTGGCACTAAAATGTCAGGATTTGGACCTGAATCCATCAACGACTCTACTAAATACCTGTATACATAGGTTTTCAGCTGAAAAATATTTTGGAGGTTTAGTTCTCCCATAAGTTATTTAGTGGTCCAGATTTGTTACTAAACACAGATTTGTACTAGGAGTGTGTGATATATAGTTTATGATAATATCTTAATTGTTATCTTAGCGATGTATGAGCTGACATTATGATTTTCACTCACTTTATACAAAAACAATCACACTTTGATTCACTGCATTTTTTTGGTTTAGTGGGATAAGCTGCTGGGAATGCACTTTGAGAGTGCACACAGTATGTACACTTCACAAATACATGGCCACTGCACCACGAGTTAAGCTAATGTAGCTGGAAATGCATTAGCGGAGTAAAAAATGAGTGAATGAACAGCACCATTAGACAAAATAAAGGCACCAAAAGCCTCTGTTTAATGTTACATCATTAATTTAATTACTGTAAATGTGGCTCATCCTTTCTCGCATGGAGGTATTTTGAATTTGGTAAGATAGATGTTGCTCAAAAGATGACACTTTTGGTCGCCATTAACGATGAAACGGCACAGAATATTAAAAATATGAAAAGCTTTGGGAAATAGTTTTACAGGACCGGACTAATCCAGCCAAGGTAGTGGCACAAAAATGCACTGGGCAAACTTTAACAGACGCATTCTGCAAAAAAAAGTCATTTTAGTGTTTGCGTATTGTTTTATTTGAATGCTTCAGCTTAAGTAAATAAGCTGTTTTCCTTATGTTTCTGTTTATTATTAGTAAGAAACAAATAACGTGCTGCTAACAAGAGCCACCAAGTATAAAATGCTTATTCTATGAAGGCTGCAAAATATGGTCTGCTTATCACTATTGACAAAATCCAAGAAAATATTCAGATATCCTTTTTTGGTTTTGTTTTTTGGTCAATATTGCACGCCTCTAGTTTGTACTTTTCTGGTCATTTTGGAGTGGAGGCTATGCAGTATTCCATTAGTACTTATAACATGAATGATGTAGCCCCTGTTTTTTTTTCTTAACTCTCCTCTCCACCTCTGTGACTACCTTGTTCCCCTCCTCACTAATTCTCTCTCCTGTTTGTCCTTTTCTCTATCCTCAGCTGTGGACCTCCGAAACCGATGGTGCGGAACAGGGACCAGAGGAACCCGCAGATTGAGCCAGACTGCCATATTCCCCTCTTCTCTGTCCCAGCTCATCTTCATCATGATCATTAAATCTGAGACCACCTCATTATTATCATTGTTCAGCTTGCCATCTTTTTCACTTGAGCTCTCAACATTTATCTCCCTCTTACTGGTTTACTGTTTCTTCTTTTGTATTAACTGTGGGGAAAGGGCATGGGGAGAGAGTATGTTTTTAAATTGTGTGGTTGAAGGGAAAATTGTTTTTGAGGTTGGTTGTCCATCTGCTCGCCTTTTTTGTGTGTGGAGAAGCAATAGGGGTGTTGTATTAGGTGGTGGGTGAGAGGGTATATTCACAACTTGCAAAACATGCAGCAGGTTGAGTTTTTAGTCAGCTATACTGTACATGTATCAGTTCATATTAATGATCCTGTGCTTGATTAAAACCATCTTTTCATGATGCACTTGTGATTTCACAAAATTGAGAATTACCTGAAATGAGTCCCTTATTGAACCAGTCATTCACTGTTTTACACTCTTTGAACTCTAACAAAACAGACATAAGCAAAGGAGGAAACTTGACTCCACAAAGCAGTTGTAAACAAATGTTATGCTATGTATTACATATTGGATTATTTTAAAAAGGCACAGTTCTAAACAAAATGCCAGACCAGCTTAAGAAATCCCAATTTAACAAAACAAAAAATTGCAGAATGCAATATATATATAGAAGGGTACTCAAAAACAAAGGGAAACAAGTCTATTATTGAAACATTTAATGTCCAGCATGTCAAAGTAAGAGGTGGTTGTTTTTGGTTATTTGAGGAGGATGAGTGTTTGGCCTCAGCCTTTTGCCGGTGCTGGTTTGACCAATCAGATTTAGGGAGCCGCAGTAGTGCAACAACCGGTTCACCTTCAGTTAATGTTAAGTCTGCTGTGAATTTAAATCACCAGTGTATTTAATTAATCTTCACTGAATGCTAAATAGAAGCAGTATAATTTTCACTGTTTTTATTGTGCAGCTTCAGCACGGCCCCCCTATGAGCAAACTGAAGGAGGACAAGGTCAATGAATGTCACAGGACAGTGATAACATGTAGCTGTTTAGCTCAGCAGAATGTCCAGGGTTTAGGTTTGATAGTCCGTTCCTGTTATTTATATCAGTGTCAAGCTACAGTATCTGGCTATTAGAAAAAATGATTACTAAATATTAAGTTACCTCTTGTTACACAACGGTTTACATTTTCGTTGCAGTGCTGAGTGACAAAAAGGGCCCTTTTTAAAACAAACTACATAGTAAGCAATTTGAGAAGCGGATTTGGAACTGGATTTGGATTCTATAAAATGCTATTGAACCCCATCCCTACTTAAGACAACAGTTAATCCTTACATGTCGAGGAATGCTAGCAGAGGTAATGAAGGTTCAGGAAGCAATAGTGCTGGCGAGGTTTTGTTGAAACAGGTTACATTCCATTGACTGTCAGTTGCTCAACTTTCCACTTGATTTTGTTCTGTTTTGGGTGACCTGCTTTTGTATTTTTATGTATCAGTTATGAGGTATAGAAAACTGAACAAAAGAGCACAAAGTTTTTTGCTGTTTTGTATGAGCACAGCATTATATTAAAAAAAGTCCCACATTACCTCAGTCCTGCTTTTTAAAGTCATGGTTTTTATTGCTTTTTTAAATTCATTTTTCTCTCAATAACCTGCCTAAACTGCATGTTGGTAAGAAGTAGCCTGTGGAGATGTAAGGAAGGTTGTCTAGCTCGCTAACGTTGTTCATGTCTTTTTCATATAGAACACCTAAGCATAACTGTTACTTGGGAGGAAATGTGGAATAAAAAAAAGAATAATTTAAATGTTTAAGCTTGTCCATTCGACGTGACGCAGTGGTTGTCTCAAGTGGTCCAAGAGTCCCCGTTTTTGAACATATGCAGTATATAAAATAATTTGTATCGTGAAAAACTTGTTTGCTATATTTGAGTGGTTTATTTAGCAACCTTTTGAACTCGAATGCTTTGTTTAGGAATCACTGTACTGTTGCTCCTGTCAGTGGGGCCTTTTGTTCCCTCGTAGGCTACACCTTGAACTACATCATAGACTTGTTCTTGGAATAATGACCAAAAACTTTCCCAGCAAGATGTAAGAACTACACTAAAAGCACATAAGCCACACCCTTGAATACAGTGGGCCACTGAAGACGGGAGACACGGGAAGTTGACAGCAACATCTCATTCACTTTCAAATGGATAAGGAACTAGAGAACACCCATTTGAGGGCTCGAGCATGGTCCATGTCTTACTCCACAAACGAAAAGCCACATGGTGTGCTTTTCTGCCACTGTGTAAATAAAGGGCTGATTGAAGGGAAACAATTTAAAAAGCCCTTTCCGTCTACACCGCCTTACTGGTCTTACGCCCCACTGCCACGAAAGTATGTGGGAGGAGAGCAGCTCAAGGCAACCACAGGAAAGAACGGTGTGCTGCAATGCCAGTGAGAGCAGCTCAAGGCAACCACAGGAAAATGCTGAGCTGCAATGCCAGCCTTAAACCCAGCCTACGAGTGTGCACGAATACAGCAAGGAGCGCAGTTTGCACACAAGCAGGTAACACATTCAGGTGTGTTGTGAGTGATGCAATTAGGCTATTAATTAGACTTATAATAGATACATTGTAAATGTTGTGTTTTCCAAGGCCGTGTCGGAATCCTCACTATCCACAGGAGAAAAAACGAGCTGTAAAAGCAGCACCTGGTTTTACCATAGCTCTCTGCTGCCCTCTGCTGGTGCGATGCAGTGAACTGTGCCGAGAAGTAGTGATGGTCGTTTGACTCCCGAGGCTCCGACACATGCGCGGTAGCTCATAAAGCAATTGTTTCGAACCACTGTGCCGAGGCGTGTTACGGTCACGTGACTAGTTGCGTTTGAGTCACTTTAGTGACGTCCAAAGCAGTTGGGTTCGTTGGACGTCAGGTGAATCAGCTGATTGGTTCGGTTTGTCATGTGAATCACTTTGGATGGAGTGTGTTCAGAGATAGGATATCCCTATTTAGTGACGTTCATTTGAATCTGTCTTCACTGTAAGCCCAGATTTAGAATATACTTAAGTAATTTAATTACAATGCACTTAAATGGTTTAAGTTTTATGTCATTACTTAAAAATGTTATCCAATTTGCAGACAAAGTTGAATGTGTGAATAACTAAGTTAACATGACTTAAATTATCAAGTTTTAGTCATGACCACACCCATTTTTCTCCACTGAGTTGTGAAGGAACGGTTATACCCCAGTTCTTTTACTGGACAGATCTGAGTAAAGAAGGAGTCTGTGTTTCTTGATTTTAGTGCTGGTTTATTTACAAAACATATA